TTCACACCTCTTTTGTTATTATTTATTAAATAACAAACCCAACAGACATCACCAGGTAACAATTGTTTGGGTTGAATTTCGAAATCAACTGCTGATTTCAAAGACTTCACTGGAAAACAGAATGTAAAAATAGTTACTGGGTTCTGGGTTGATGCGAATTTAAGATCTAACACTTTAAGTGGATTGTTTACTACTTGGAATTGATTAAGAACTAATTCCTTGAGCTTAAAAACATTTGAATGGACGGATTGAATGAGGCATTCTGAACTTCCATTCCATTGTTGAGTTCTTATGAGCTCAAACCCAGTTAAAGTTTTAATTTTTGTTTATTTCCTTTTTTAAAATTTTAAGTAATTTTTTGAGTTCACTCACCCTTTTTCTGTGTATAGCACGTGAGTGCCAACTAAACAAAGTGGTGTGTCATAGATACACTTTTGAAAGTTTGAGTGTGTAATATAATTTTTGCCGTCAGAAAGTGTGTAACAGGGATTTGGCCTATAGTTCAGGTAAGGGTGTTAATCGGGCCGGACTGTCCCGTTCACAACCCGATTCGACCCGATTCGACCCGGTACTGTAGCGTTTGGGGGAGGGGGGCTAGGATGGGTTGGGTGGGGAGCGGGTTTTAGACGAAAAGTTTCTGGATACCGGTGCATTGGAACCCGCTAAGCCCGATAACCCGTTAACGAGCTACAACCCGTTCCAGCCCGGTTTCCGTTACAATTTTTTTTTTTTAATATTTCTGGACCGTTGCCAACGGTCAAATTAAAAAATGACCGTTGGCCAATGGCCCTTTTTTGCAGAAATGCCATTTCGGCCTAGCCCTTTAAGAAAATAGCTCCCCCACCCCTAATATTTGATAAATTACAATTTTAGCCTTTTAAAAACTATAAATAGCCCCCTTCTTCTTCATTTTTTCTCACAATTCACTCTCTTATTACTCTAATTCTATCTCAATTCTCTCTTGATAATATTGATTATTATTCTTAAATTCTCAATTACTTATTATTTCAAGTTTCAGCAAATATTTAGTTTAGCCATTATAAAATTATTATTATCAAATATCAAGTATTCAAGTGAAGTGTGGTATCAAGTTCCAACTATCAACTATCAAGTATCGGTCTATCAATTAAAGTTTGATTTTTGATATCAAATTTAGTGCGACATCTGGAATCCCGGTACACTCGTTCCATTTCTTTCTCTTCTTTGGTGTGTATTTTTATTTTATTATTTAGAATTATTAATTTAATTTACATAATGGATATAGTAAGAGCAGTCAAAAAAGTGTGCACTGGTAGAGGTGGTAGTAAAAAAAAATTCAAAAGATCAAGAGGTGGTGTTGGTTCTTCTAGTAGCTTTACACATATTTCTGAAAGTTCACCTGAAAATTTAAATGTAGATTATGAGCGACTTCAAGAAAATTATGGTATAGATGATGGTTTAGATGATATTCAATCACCTGATAATCTTGAAACACCACCAGCTACACCTGGTAATGCTAGTCAAACTCAAAATATTAGGGGTGGAGGTCGTGGTAATACAAGTAGGCCTCCCCTCCCTATTAAGAAGAATCGAAGATTAAAAAGTAAGTGTTGGAATTTTTTTGACACACTAGAAGAAGATAAAAATTATGTAAGATGTAGAATTTGTAAGGATGTTTATAAACATGAGCCCGGTAAGGGAGGGGGAACGGGTCAACTTCGTAGGCACATGGTAGAGCTCCACCCTCTTGATTGGGGAGTAGACGAGGAAGATGGGCAACAAAAACTTAACTTGGGTACTGGGGGGTTAATGAGTAAATACAATATTAAGAAAAATCGGAAAGAATTAGCTAAAATGATTATTTTAGGTTGTTTACCTTTTAGTTTTGCTTCTTCACCGTATCTCGTTACTTATATTCAAAGAATTTATAACCCTTTGTTTAAAGGTATTCCTAGAAGTATTTGTAGAGCTGATATCTTTACGCTTTTTGGACAATATCAGACATATATTCTGGAGCTTTTTATCCTACTATTGCAAATGATTTAGTTCATGCTGCTGAAATTTCTCTTTTACTACATAATTTGAAGAAGAAAGAATGATATACTTCTGTTGTTGAATCTATGCTAGATAAGTTTAAAAAATATTTCTACCCAATTCTCCCTATTTACCTAATTGGTGCTATTTTAAACCCTTCTATCAAAATGGCCACTTGTTGCCAATTAATCAGTGCTTTATATACTTGTATGGATATTGGACCAACTGAAACTCCTGATATTGACACTTGTATTTCTGATCTACACAAACATTTTCAAACTTTATATAATTATTATGCTAACATTGTTGATGCTTCTTCTGTTGTAGATGCAAATATTCCTTCAAGTTCAGTTTCAACATCTGTGACCAGTGCTTTGGATGATAATGATGGTGTTGAAGATTATTTGATTTGGTCTACACTAGGAGACCATCAACAAACCAGTAGTAGGAATATTGATGAACTCCAATTTTACTTGCAAAAGTCACCAGAGCCCGCACAAAGGAATTTCTACCGCTGGGTTGGTGGAGGAGCAACTCAAATCAATTTTCTGTTCTTTCGGCCATGGCTCGAGACGTGCTAAATGTGCCGATTTCAACAGTCGCATAAGAGAGCGCATTTAGCCAAGCAAAGCAGCAACTAGGAGATACCCGTCATTCATTGGGCAACAACGCTTTGGAAATTCTAGTGTGCTTCAGAGATTGGATAAGATCAGAACGGCGAAATCAAGTGCGTGACGAGGTAGATGAAGCGGAGGATCAAGAAATTGGAGATATAATGGTTTATGGTTCCGATTCAACCAATGCCGGAAATCAAGAACCTCATGTTGACATGGATGAACTTACAAAAATGATAGCAAAGCATGTAATGTACTATTTCTTATTTTTTATCATTGTTGTAAAATTTTAATTTGCAAGTTCAAAAATAAAAAAAATCAAAAAAGAACTTGCAAATTAATTTGAAGTATTATATATTATTCAATAAAAATATCAAATGAAAGCCTTCGGAGCTTGATCCTTACATATTGCCTATTGGTCTTATTAAATAATTTTTTATAGCCACTTACTTTCAAATTTCAATTTTAAAATTTTAAAATTCAAATTTCAAATTTGAAAGTTGAAACTTTAAACTTCAAAGTTTAATTCTAAGGTTTAAAAGTTTGCAAACACTTAAGTATCAATAACTTTGAATAAGAAAAATAAAATTTACTAAAAAAAATAAATAAAAAATAGCCCGGCACGGTCCGGACCCGTTAATCCCAAACCCGGACGGGCCCAAAAAAACCCGAAAATGTACAACCCGCTAGCAGCCCGTTAACTCAGCCCGCTAACCAGCCCGGAACAGTGAACGGACGGGCTATTTTTTTTATGTACAGCCCGTCGTAGCCCGCCCGTTAAACACCCATAAGTTCAGGTGGTAATTTATGTATTTTGCCAAATATTAGTTGTGTATACAACAATAACAACCCAGTAAAATCCCACCAGTGGGGTCTGGGGAGGGTAGAATGTACACAGACCTTACCCCTACCCCGGAGGGGATAAAGAGGCTGTTTCCGGGAGACCCTCGGCTCAGAGACAATAGATCCGTGACAACAAAACCCGAAAACTAATATCAGCAACATGAGAGATAGCAAATAAATGGAAAAGCGGTAACACAAATATTATGAAAAAGTGTGAAACGCAACATAAATCGCTAGCAGGGCTAGACAAAACACTATCATACTCGTCGGTACAAAGAGGGGAACCGGGACAAAGGGGAAAACCGCTCGACTACTCTTAACCTACAACCCTAATGCTCGACCTCCACACTTTTCTATCAAGAGCCATGTCATCGGAAATCTGGAGTCGCGCCATGTCCTGTCTGATCACCTCGGCCCAATACTTCTTAGACCGCCCTCTACCTCTTCTCGTACCTGCCAAAGCCAACCGCTCACACCTCCTAACCGGGGCATTTAGGATTTTCCTCTGCACGTGTCCTAACCATCTAAGCCGCGCTTCCCGCATCTTGTCGTCCACCGGAGCCACGACCACCCTCTCCCGAATATCTTCATTCCTAATCTTATCCAGCCTAGTGTGCCCACACATCCATCTCAACATCCTCATTTCTGCTACTTTCATCTTCTGGATATGTGAATTCTTGACTGGCCAACACTCAACCCCATTCAACATGTCCGGTCTAACCACCGCTCTATAGAACTTACCTTTGAGTTTCGGTGGCACATTCTTGTCACACAGGACTCCAGACGTTAACCCCCATTTCATCCACCCCACCCCAATACGGTGCGTAACATCCCCGTCGATCTCCCTATCACCCTGGATAATTGATCCTAAGTACTTAAACTTTCTCTCTTGAGGATGACCTATGAGTCAAGCCTGACTTCCGCATCTGCTTCCCCTGTCACGTCGCTGAACTTACATTCCACATATTCCATCTTAGTCCTACTCAACTTGAAACCTTTAGACTCCAGGGCCTGCCTCCATACCTCCAATCTCCCATTAACGCCGCATCGCGTCTCATCAATCAGATTTATATCATTAGCGAATAACATACACCATGGCACCTCTCCTTGGATATGGTGTGTCACTGCATCCAGCGGGGCAAATAAGAACGGGCTGAGCGCAGATCCTTGGTGTAACTCCATAACCACCGGAAAAGGCTTTGAGTCACCTCCCACAGTCCTAACCCGAGTCATAGCTCCATCATACATATCCTTTATCGCCCTAGTGTAAGCCACCGACACACCTTTCACCTCTAAACATCTCCAAAGGACGTCCCTGGGACCTTGTCATACGCCTTCTCTAGGTCAATAAACACCATATGCTAATCCCTCTTCCTATCCCTGTATTGTTCCACCAACCTCCTGATAAGGTGGATAACTTCCGTAGTCGAGTCATTAAAATAAAAAACCTAGATTAAAAAAATTAAAGGAATTGCCTATATTATTTTTGAGGCGTTGAACGAGGTCAACCAGATGGAGATGATTAAATGAGCATTTCTGCAACTTCTGCACATTTAGGGGGTTAGATCTCACTTTTCTAAAAATCAAGGGCTTTATGTGAAACATTTACCCGTCAAAACACACACTCTTCTAACAAGGTAAGAGAAAAAGAAAAAAAGAAGGCAAGAGATCACCGATCTGGAACTCAGAACACACTCTCTCTCACACACACAGAGACAGTGACTGAACAACCCAATAGCCATAGTCGTTTACCGGAGCCTAATATTCTAGAACATTCTCAGTTACTCCGTTAAAGTTAACTACTCGCCGGCGACCGGGGAATCAAACTGGCGTTCAGCCCGAAGCGAGCAATGGCGGAGCTACGCCACTCAAGCTCGATCGGAAACCGAGTAACGGCGTCACCTAGGAAGCGAGACGACGTCGTTGCTTCTTCATCTCCTTTGGTTCCTGACAACAACAGTGCTCCTAACGTTGACGATGACGATGACGATTACCGTGGCCGTTATTATCCTCGAGATCGGTTCCGTTCACTCTTCTCTTCACATCTTCAACCTCTTTTCCCTTTCTTCTTCCCTGATGACTCGAGGTCTCATCCGCACAATTCAAAGATCTCGCTTTTTCTGCTCGTCGTTATCATACTTTCGCTCCTCGTCGCCATTTCCTCTGTCGTTCATCGATTGGTAAGCCTTCCTTCTATCAATCTCAAAACAAACACTCTCACACGCATAGTTATATACTGTTCTAGTTTGGATAAGGCTTAGATGTTACTGTTATGCTCACATTAGGTTCGGGTAGGAATCAAGCGTGAGATATAGAGAAAGTGTATGTATTTTAGAGAACACGTGATTTGCCTTGATTGACAAATTACTTACCAGTATTGTAATGAATGAGTCTGAATAGAACGGAATGGAAAAGAGGATTCCTACAGCTGACTTCAACTAGTTTAATGATTAGTCAATTTGAAGCGAATAGAGATAATAGGAAGTGATTTTGATCACTGTTGGTCAAGTTAGGACTTTGACTTCCAATAAATGTTTACCAGCGAAAATGTGCATCGACTAGAGATAATAGGGGAACTCCTTTTGATGAATATTGGTCAAGTTAAGACCTTAACTTCCATAGTATGTTTAAGTAATTCCATAATTTGGTAATTGCGAGCCAATCTTTTAGAGTTGTTCTTATATGAACACTAACATGCCATATAGCTGGAGTTTGCTTTATATTATCTCTGATATCAATCTACCGTTTAAGCATCTTTCTTCCTTGACATTCATCATATAAAAGATTTCGTTTGTGGTATTGAATCATATGAACAAAAAGCTTGTTACTTCTGATTTTATATGTACGAATAATTAGTTAGTATTAAGTACTTGAAGATCCTAAATTAGATTTGCTAAATTTGACATCTCGGGTTCCTATCAAGAGGAGAGAAATCATATGGAATTAAAAGTTCTATCTTCGGAATGGAAAATTAGTTAATATAATAGTTTGTTCTGGGTAGTGCATATTGGAGTGACCAGAGCTAAATCTGGATACTGGGAGTGCTCTCTATTAGTAAACCTTGTATTTATCTCACGGTTGGTTTGTTTACCATCATTAGCTTCATCACATGTCAGAAGATGAGAGAATGTTAAACTTAAAAGAACCTGGGATTCGGAGGCTGATTGCCTATGCTTCTCTGGCTACAGATAGTTTACCCCTCATCTGTTTTGATGCTTACTTTTCAACAATGTTCTTCAGGGTGGTGATAATTAAAGCTCATAGTTCTTTTTTATACGTAAATTGAAGCACATAGTTTTCAGCATCAGTTGTCTTATGTGCGTAGCTACCTCTTTCCACACTAATAGTTCTTTTCCCATAAGTATGAAATAGGTTATAGATTTCAAGCATATAATCTGAAATAAAAGGGAAGGTTTATGATATGAATTAGATTAGATAGTGCTTTTCTAGATTAAAGAGTTTGTCATCGGGACTATTAATTGTTTTGTGTGGTTGCTACGATGTCTTTTTGATTTGTCTAAACAAAACATTCTTGAGAGAATGTGATGTACTTTCCTATTTAATGTTCTTTGATTCTAGCAATTTCAGTTTTTAAAGCATTGTTTATGTTATTTTTCTTTGTAGAATGCCCCATATTTGTGCAAGAAGGATGGTATAACTCTTCAGTGTCCACGGGTGAGTTCTTGAAAGACGTACTTGTTGTATGTTACTACATCCTAATATAGTCAACATCCAATCTTTCTACTTTAATCAGGTGAAAGAGTCTCCTTCCTTGTGGGAGAATCCTTATTCATCAACAACCTCATGGAAGCCTTGTGCGGAGCGACGTGAGGGACTGATATCGGGTATTCTTATGCTCTTTAAATCTAGATCTGTGTGTTTGCCTTGTCATATCTTCTGGTCGGGGAATTTGGTACATATACTCCTTCCCCGCGATGTGAGGGAGTGATATCGGGTATTCTTATGCTCTTTAAATCTAGATCTGTATGTTTGCCTTGTCATGTCTTCTGATTGCTTCCTTCTTTAGGTTTATGAGTTTAGAGGATTTACCTCATACTTTCCCCTCTTCCTGGAGGTGATGGTGCAAGGAAAAAGGAGAGAAAAGGATCTTTAACGTTTACACTCCGACTTTTATGTATAAGGTACAAATATCTTTTAGAAGATAAAAAGAAAAAACAATATATTGGACAAACCTTGCAACTGACTGAAGCCTGATTTTAAGTGAGAGCAAGGTAATGCAGCAGATGTTCTTGTTTGAACCGAAATGTCATTTAATTACCGAAATGGACAAAAGAAGAAGGTATACAACCTAAAAGGTGAACTTCGTTCAGAAATGGCAAGTTGTATCATCTTATGCAATTGAACAATATTGCCGTTACTAATTTAATTTATTTTTGTTGTTAATAATTTGGTTTATTAGGTCAATTGGATTAGACTTTGATGAGTCCTCTTCTAAGATGTTCATGGAGTGATCAGAGAACTTATCAAATTTTAAGAGTAGAAAGAAGTAAAAGTTCCTCCAATGGTAATTCAGAGATTTAATAGAGAGTTAAGTGTGAAAATATTGGTTAGCGACATTGTGACTGATATGTGCATGAGTTGAACCTTCCTCCTTTGGTTAGTAAGTGAGATTTCAAATACTATTGTTAACAACCTGCTGAAAAGAGGGGCTGCTTGTAAAGCTTTGAGAGATCCTTCTTCTTAAAAATCACATGGATTTAAAGGTTTATAATGCAATATTCCTCCCTCCAATGGAGAAGGATAGAGGGGCAGGCCTATTATCCACTGAATTTCTTACCGGCACTACTGGCCTTCAGGGATTTCTCGGTTATAAAAAAAGTCCCTCCCTCCAATACTGGATCTTGAATTCCTTAACGTGCAACTATTCTTTTGTCTTCAAACAAGAGTTACTCCTCCGTCTCCTTCCTGACATCTTAATAAATGGTCCAATTTCCTCAAAAATTTTCTCTTGGGCTGGAAGCCCTTTCCTTTCAGTTTCACTTCTTTCTATGTGATTTGAACTGCTTGCCATGCTCCAAAGGCCTCCTTGTACCATGCCCTTACCAGCATTAGCTTTTTCACAACCCATTTTGTGTTCAAATTTTAGTATTAGTTGTTACACAAAATGCAGAATCCTTCTGCTTTTACTGCAGTCAGTGGTGAGCTTTTCATTTTTTCTTTCACACTGATGAAAGGGGAAGTTCCTCTTTTTTCATCTGTGAATTGTTAATCAACCCATTCGTACACTCTATGCGATCGAATATTTCTTACACACATGAGTTTTATACAAGGTATCGGACTAATGAATCTATTTTCTTTGTGATTTTGTGGTTAGTCTTTGAATCTAGCATCATTTTCTGAAAGGTATTCTAGCACTGCCCTTGTCAATTTGTCATATCTTTTCAAACGCAGCGCTCCTGCTTATTCCTTATTGTTTTGGTATTGAGTTGTTGGATCCTAGGCCGCTTCTTATGTCTCATATTGAACACTTTTTTTATGACCGAGAAATTCGTCTGGAGCTGAACCTTTGGGCCAACTGGAGCCTTTGAAACTCTCGAATGATGAGCCCACCCCTCTACCCTTCTCCACTTAAATGCTGGAGTTAGTTTGCTTCGCAGGGCTCGAACCAGTGACCTAAGGCACAAGTCCCTCAACCTTTGCCAATTAAGTTAACCCCTGGGAACGTCTCGTATTGAACACTTTGAGGAGCATAATGTGGAAACATTGTGCATGACAGCATCTTTAGTCTATGCTGGTGGTTGATGTAGGTGGGACAACATTCTACAGTCCCTTGTAACAACTAACCCAGAAAGCTCAAATTTAAAAGACAGCTGATCTATTGAAATTATAAGCAGTGCTTATCTTGTGTATAATCCCATCGTTGGATGTGCGCCTCTGCTTTGTAAAGAGTGTTCTCAACTAATTATCCATATTGCTATAACGCCCTGTCTTTTTTATAAGCATATAATATCTTTCTAAGGCGTCCATTAATATTATTTGCTATTTTGGTTTCTCTTATGTATTTGTGTAATTTTCTTTAAATTTGTGGTTACTATGTCTTTTTGGTATAAGTAATCTATCTACACCTTTTTTCTTCTTGTCGCCTTCCATTTGTGTTTTTCTCTTTAGATCATTACATTCTGGAGCCTGGAAATGCTAGTTGTTTCCCACCTAAACTCTTATAATGAATTACAGCTATTTAGAGTAGAGTAAATTAGCAGGTCATTCTTGATACAAAGGTGGGGAACTCTAGGAATAGGCTTTTGTATGTCGTGTGTCATTGAGAAGTGGGAAAGCCGAGTTGGTTTGCCCAACATGAAACTTGTAGCATTACTTAAGAAGTTGAAAAAATGGTGTAACAGGTTTCTGCCTGATACTCTCTTGTTTGCCAAAATTTATTCATCAAACCTCTTTGGGTTAGATGTATCATTGATGGCTACAAACCTCTTGAGCTTGTTGGAATACTTTGTCCGAATCGAATAACTGATCACTTATCCTTTTTCTTCCTCGTTTGCAAAATAGTGATATAGCTTGGTATTTGCAGATATTCCATCTGAGAACTCAACAAATGGTTATATATTCATACACGCTGAGGGTGGTCTAAATCAGCAAAGGATCGCTGTATGTTTCACGTCTTATGCCATGCTTTTGTCTCCCATCTTTATATATTTGTCTCTGTAAAGTCTTGTTTTTTCTTATTTTGCAAGTCAGTTAATGTATTGAAAACTGTCTATTGTAATTGCTAGGTTATCTGTAGATCTATGAAATCTGTTGTGTTTCTCAAAGGATTTGTACCCCTTTAATCAGTCGTATATTTCTTTGCAGATATGCAATGCTGTTGCAGTGGCCAAAATTATGAATGCTACCCTTATTTTGCCAGTATTAAAGCAAGATCAGATATGGAAAGACCAAACGTAAGGGAAATTTGACTGAAGCAGCTATTCTTTGCTCACAAGGATGGGATGTTGTAAATATTTTATATTGCACCATAGCGAGATTTTAGTCAAACTGCATATAATTTAAAATTGACGTTTATGGTTATTGTATTCAGTTACTTGTTGCAAAAAAACATTCCAGAGTAAAAATCATTGTTTTGTGAGAATTGTCCAAAAGATTGGTAAGACATTGATTATTCTTGATACGAGTTAACAATATTTGCAGGAAATTTGAGGACATATTTGATGTGGATCATTTTATTAACTATCTGAAGGATGATGTGCGGATTGTTCGAGATATCCCAGAGTGGTTTACTGACAAATCAGAGCTGTTCACTAGCATAAGGTATGGTCCCTAGCGTGTTTACATTAAAATTTTTGGCTGCTAATTCATTTTCATGGCAGCAGTTCTAAGTATAGTTTTTCAAACTAGTCCTAAGTATGAATTCCCTGACAAAATTTATCAACATGGTGATCTACAAATTCAAGTTTACCTCATAAAAATTCCCCAGCCGCCTTTGGCGTGATGTAGTTCTAATGTTACATGGACCTAGGTAGTAAATACCGAATATGGATTTGGATCTGATAGTGATATATTCGGTTTCTAGTTGATTTTTGTTTTTGAACGATCCTTTCCATACAAGTACTTGTACCTTTTGAAAACCCGCTTGGTTTGGCATTTGTATGTTAATGTAAGTGAAGAGTATGTGTAACAAGTTAAACATCAATGTTGCTTTAATGGTAGCATGTATTGGGTGTGATCTCAAGTGCGTGGCTCCTTAGTACGGCCTCTGGAAAATGAGAATCCGCCTCTCCATGAGAAACCGAATTAGTTATTATTCCCAGCGAAAATTCTCTAATCGCCATGCCACAGCTACAGGATTTATGTCAAGATTTTCTAGAATTATCTCAGTTACGCCGAAGTCTAAGAGACAAAGTGATGAGGAGAATGACCAAAATGGACTTGGCCTCATAAATCAGCTTTGTTGATACCATAAATCACACGAGAACTCTAGAGTGGCCTCACAGCTTTGGGCGGTACCGTGCTCCTTTACTTGATATCGTTTGGACACAGTTGAAGACTGTGTTAGGCATTGGCAAGTTGGAGAATAAGCCTAGGACTGAGTTGAAAGTAGCATGGACAACTAGTCCACTGTGTTTTTTTCTGATGACATTGAATGTAAAAATAGGAGAATATTTCAAGGTACCTAGAATCAAAAGGAAATAAAAGAGGTATGGGTTGTCTCATTTATACTTTCTACATAAAAAATTAATAGATGTTTGAACAGATAGTTGGATGGGCTTGACGGGAGATTGTGAGTAGTCTTCATAAATGCATTAATGAATAAATAAAAACATAAATAATTTCACAAGAGACCAATTGAGTTGCGGAAGTGTAAGATACGCTGTATAACAAGATGTCAATGAATGATATATATGGCTTCTTTAGTTATTGATTGGATAGGCTAGATTACGAGGAGGCGAAACATATGGCTTCTTTAGGATTTGATTTCTTGAAATGAAGCCATTCTCAGGAAGGGGTAGGTAATAAGATGACAAGGGATGACACAGATGGCTTCTTTAGTTTTTGATTTCTTGATACGAAGTAATTCTGAGAGAGAGAGTTAATAATCTTCATGGTTAGTTGTAACACTATAATTGTTGGTGTTTAGTCTTACATTTACCGGTAATTGATTTAAACAGATGTCAGATACACATAAATTCATCTTACATGAACCATATTACTGCACTAATTTTACGACATTTTGCCCTACTTGTAATTTTATCAAATTTCAAGCTCTAGCCAAAATTCATCCGTCACATTTACTTTTATCAAATATGTTATACCTTGTCAACTTTGTGCTGAAAGCCCTTTTGTTTTCTAACGATATAGAAACCCCATCAGCGCTGTCTGATAGATCTTTTATTTCTTCATGAAGGACAAGATGGAAAGCAAGATTGTTGAATCATTATTTGTCATAATTGTGTAAAACATTCTAATAGATCAAGTTTGCAATCTTAGATTACATTCTTAGAGGAGGAACTTTTTTATTGTTCCAAGTAGTTGCTGAACATGAGAATATAGTTGCTATTTCATTTACAACAGTGTGCTACGTTTTGCGTTTGTGTTTCTAAAGCTTGTACAATGCCTGCCAGGCGTACAGTCAAGAACATTCCCAAGTACGCTTCAGCAGACTTCTACATTGATAATGTTTTGCCACGCATCAAGGAGAAGACGATAATGTCTTTAAAGCCTTTTGTCGATCGACTTGGGTAACTAGATTTCCGTACTCCTCTGATTGTCCTGATTTTCCTTTAACTGGTGTTGACCTGATAAACTACTCGCTGTATCATTCAGGTATGACAATGTTCCTCCAGAGATAAACAGGCTGAGGTGCAGGGTCAACTATCATGCTCTGAAGTTCCTTCCCGAGATTGAGCAGATGGCTGATCAACTTGTTTCAAGGATGAGAAACCGCACTGGTAGTTCAAATCCTTTCATGTGAGTTATTGTACTTGTAACTGCTGTTAAACATGCTGTATCATTTCTTCTGATTTATAATGGAGCTTAAATTGTTTTGTCAAACTAGGGCTCTTCACCTGAGATTTGAGAAGGGAATGGTGGGTCTATCATTCTGTGATTTTGTTGGAACTAGGTCAGAGAAAGCTCTCATGGCTGCATACAGAAAGAAAGAATGGCCTCGCCGGTTTAAGGTTACATAGCTTATGATCATTATCCCTATGAGCCGAAAGTGACCTTGCATTTGTGATATATTTATCTTCTTTTCTGTTTGTTTGGCTGGCAGGATGGTGCTCATTTGTGGGCATTGGCCCTGCAAAAGCGCAAGGAAGGACGATGCCCTCTTGAGCCTGGTGAAGTAGCTGTGCTGCTTCGGGCCATGGGTTATCCTAAAGAAACTCAAATATATGTTGCTTCTGGACAGGTCTATGGTGGACAGAACCGCATGGCACCACTGAGGAACATGTTCCCAAATCTTGTAAGCTACTTGCGTAAACTCTGATCAAGGAACCTTTATCTATATCTTGCTCAGATTATATTTGCTTGTAGCTAATCTTGTTGACTGCTATGGCCACTTTTAAAAGAAACATGGGTGGAAGGATTTTCTGCAAGAGACCCTTGAAAGTTTCTGGAATTTTCACTTTTGTGCTTTTAATTTGTTTAGTGTCAATGTCCTATAGACATGTTTACCCATCATTTGTTAATGTACCAGGTGAAAGGATTTGCGTGATTTAATATTGATTAAAATTATATTTTGGGATCTGTAATAGGTTACAAAAGAGGAACTAGCTACAAAACCAGAATTGGATGGTTTCAGGAAGCATGTGACAAGCTTAGCAGCCCTTGACTTCCTAGTCTGCTTGAAGTCTGATGTATTTGTGATGACACACGGAGGAAACTTTGCCAAACTGATCATAGGATATCGTAGGTACATGGGTCATCGTCAGAAATCCATTAAACCGGACAAGGGTCTGATGTCCAAATCCCTAGGGGATCCATATATGGGATGGGCTAGCTTTGTGGAAGATGTTGTCGTAACCCACCAGACCAGAACTGGTTTACCTGAAGAAACGTTTCCAAATTATGATCTTTGGGAGAATCCTCTGAGCAATTGCATGTGTAGAGCCTGAAGGAACAACCTTTATTGTGAAGAAAAGCCCCAAAGTAGTGCATCCTTCTAGAGCTGGTGCACAAGGAATTGCGAAATTTTCGCCATTAACACAGCCAGAATTACAAGGCAATTTGCACATGGGATCACATAATGGATGGAATGTAGCCTCTGGGTGGATAAGAGTATTAACACAAAGAGTTGCAGAAACTGCCTTTAGGAGTGGTCTAGCTGCCCTGCATTGACCACCTGTGTTATGATCTTTCTTTAGGCGCAGACCACTGCAGTTTTGTATTCTGGAATATTAATTTATTCTCAATTGTTTCACGATATAATGTATATTATTGCAGTAATAGAAAAGCGTCTTTCATTTCGCTTGAACACAACCCAGATTTCATGCATCCCAGGGGGATATGGTGCATCACGAGATACGCAAATGTCTTCATTTGGACAATCAGTCAGCTACATCCCCCACCCACTCCCCAAATTAGAAAATTCCACCGGTATTCAGGTGGAAACTTTCACTGTTTAGAGGGTTTTAACTTTTAGGTTTAACGTTATACATGTGAGATTTCCAATCTCTGATTGTTTTATAGTGGGATCGTTGTCCAGTATATTTCTCTGTCATTGGAAACACAATCAAAATAGAATAAGAAAGGAGAGAAGAATATTGTCTCTTTGTGGGGTCAAAGCTGAGTCGTTCAGGTTTATCCATTTACTTGAAGAGTGCTTTCTTGTGCTAGTAACTGGTCCGTTTTGGGTTTGTTTTTCTCTAAAAAGAAATTAAACCAATTAAGTCGATTTTTCAAATATTAAAATCAAACTAAATCAATTAATTTGGTTTTTGACGGTTTTTCGAATTTTTTGTTTATTTTTATGAGATACACTACCAAGCACACATTTTGGCGATTATATTCCAACATAACATTATCAAACCAATTACTCTTGGAGAAAGTCTGTCATTTGCTTAGATATTTTGACGGTAATTGAATTAAATAGCATAGTGAATAATTTAAGGACTCAATCATAGACAAGTTAATTTTATTTAACATGAAAAAGATTTTTGGACTTAGCAAAATAGAATTACCAATTAAACTAGAATATAAAAGATAAAGAACTAGATTATTATTAAGGCAAAGAGCCAGACTACCACTTAAGAGTACAACTGATTAGTATGTACCATAACATTTTAAGAATTATATATAAAAATTACACACACATATATAGAACTATTGAACTATATATATTTTCTTATTAACACCCATCATTATTCAAATTTGAACTATTTTATCTAATGTTTTAAAAAGCGTTTTTGGGGCGAGGCGCACCAAAAATGTCCCGAGGCGATTGTATGGGGCGAAAGTCTCAAGAGGCGTATGCCCAGCAATTCGGGGCGTACACCCAGGCGTTTGAGCCGCGTTTTTGTAGTGAGGCGTAAGCCCAGGGGCGGATTTACATGTTAATTTTAGGTGCTCAAGCACCCATTGACCTTGACGTAAACTAGGTATAGCTATAATAAAAATATAAGAAATAGGATATAATATTTTAGTGAGCACCCATTAAACAAAACGACTGATGGGTGCTGTGGTTTTGAAGTGGGAGTTAAAACCTTTCCTGTAAGCAAAGACCCATGTTCCATTCTCGTCACAGCATTTCCTTTATATTTTTGAATGTCAGCCTTTTGTCTTTTGTGGAAAAGTTTAACTTTTCCTATTCCCTTTAGGTTTTAGTTTAGGTTAGTCATATTACGTTTTAGTTTAGGTTGTCAGCGTTTTTTTTAACCTTTCTCTGCTTTTGAACTTAATTTTCCATTTTTAGTTTTTATTTTCTCCTTTTCCTACTTCCTTTCACTTTTAGGCTTTATTATATTAATAATTAATTAGATTTAAGTATAAGAAAGGCCATTTTTACCGTCTTACAGAAAACTTTAAAACTAAACCTTCTTGAGTTTTTGCTCATTAGGAACGTAGAGAAGGGAAATACGAAGAACAAAGTAGACGAAACAATTAGCAAATTCTCCGGTCATTCACAACAATCTCAAAATCAGAACATAGCACAAGGTAATAAGATTTGGTATTTTTATTGAAGTAAGAAATTAAAAATATTCTTAGAAGGATTTTGAATTTTTTTCATGCTTATCGCTTATTCTTTGAAAGCAGATTCAATGAAAAATATTATCTTTGTTACCAAATTGCTTGATTCCAAAACTTAATTTTGAGAATATATTCAGGTTATTAATATTGGTGGGTTGTGCGATTGATGAAATTGTGCTCATCAGCTCATTGCTTCAGAAATTTGTAAGTTTTCATCTTGTCTTTCGAAAAATTAAATAGTTATATCGTTATTGCCGTGTTGTTTGTGTTATTGATTGAGGGGCATGGTTTTCCCAATAGAAATTAATTAAATTATGTGTAGTAAATTTCAGATGAAATTAAGGGTCAACATTCAAAATGGTTGGAGTACAATATATCAAAAGATGCTGCATATTGTTTGTGTTGTTATTTATTTAAAAATGAACATGAAATTCATGGAAATATAGGGGATGCATTTACAAAAAAATGGCTTTAAAGGTTGGAACAAGGCTATAGAAAGATTTAAAGCTCATGTTGGAGAGGTAGATAGCATCCACAACAAGTGTTTCAATAGGATGATTAATTTAATGAATCAATCACAATCAATTCGCACTTCTTTTGAAAAGCAATCCGAGAAAGAAAAAAGTGAGTCTCGACGTCGCTTGAGTGCTTCAATCGATGTGGCTAGGTTTCTTTTGAGACTAGGATTGCCATTTCGTGGGCACGATGAGAGTCAATCTTCTACAAATAGAGGTATCTTTCTTGAACTCTTGCAATGGTATGGAGATATTGCTCCGGATATTGGAAGTATTATATTAGAAAATGCTCCAAAAATGAAATGATGTGTTCCCCAATGATTCAGAAAGATATTGTTGATGCTTGTGCCAAAGAAACAATCAAAGCTATCATTGAAGACTTGGATGGGGATTTTTTCGAGATACTAGTTGATGAATCGAAGGATATATCACACAAGGAGCACACTTGTTTTGAGATATGTTAACAAATAAGGCGAAGTAATTGAGAGATTAATTGGTACTGTTCATGTCAATGATACATCAGCTCAATCATTGAAGAAGGAAATTAACTCGTTTCTTTCGTATCACTCATTAAGTCCATCTCAAATACGTGGGCAAGGTTATGATGGAGCTAGTAACATGCAAGGAGAGCTACGTGGTCTTAAAATTTTGATTCTGAATGAAACTCCATCGGCGTATTGCATTCATTGTTTTGCTCACCAATTGCAGTTAACACTTGTGGCTCTTGCAAAGAAGCATTCAGATGTAGATGACTTTTTTTGTATAGTTACTAATGTGTTAAATATTGTTGGATCATCTTTTAAGCGTAGAGATTTGCTTTGACAACATCAAGCTGAAAAATTAGAGGAGTTGCTCACATCAGGTGAAGTGCATACTGAACGAGGACTAAATCAAGAACGTGGGCTTCAACGACCAGGTGATACTCGTTGGGGTTCTCATTATAGAACGTTAGATAACCTCATTGTCCTATTTTCATCAATTATTCATGTTCTTGAATTTGTTGCTCGTGAGGGTCCAAATTATGCTGATAGACTTGTTGCTGAAAGTCTTATGACTAAGATTAAGGAATTTGAATTTGTTTTTATGTTGCACTTGACGTGGAAAGTTCTAATGATGACAAATGATTTGAGCTCCTCATTACAAAGGATGGATCAAGATATTGTCAATGCTATGGGACTCCTCACTCATACAAAGCAAAGATTACAAAGGATGAGGAATAGTGAATTTCAATCATTAATGGATGATGTCTCTTCATTCTGTGATAAACATGAGATAATGATCCCGAAGATGGATGCTCTCTATTTTCCTGGGAAGTCAAAGCGTAGATCTCTTGATGTTACATACTCTCATCACTTGCACGTTGAGATATTTAATGGTGTTATTGATTTGCATCTTCAAGAGCTTAGAAGTCGTTTTGATGCCGTGAGTACCGACTTACTTCTCGGTATGGCTAGTTTAAATCCACTTAATTCATTTGGTAATTTTGATAAGAACAGGATAATGAAGTTGGCTGAATATTATCCGAATGAGTTTGATAGCAACAAGCTCCAGGATCTTAGTTTCCAGCTTGATAGTTTTATAGTTTATGCTCGTGGTCATGACAAGAGGTTCTTCAACATGAAGGGAATTAGTGACCTTTCTAAAGTGTTGGTTAAGTCAGACCTGCATCAAACTTGGCCACTAGTGTATTTACTTATCAAGTTAGCTCTCATTCTTCCTGTTGCTACCGCTTCTGTGGAACGTGCTTTCNTGATGGGAAAACATCTGTATTGTAATTGTCACACCCCAAGTCTGGATGGGGCGGGACTATGCTCTATATGCAACTACTATATACATGTAACAGATTACATGCCATAACTTGAAAGGCAAATCCGAAATGTGAAGACTTCTGTATACCACCGTGCCCACTTACCTGAGAAATGAAGCAGATGTAGAACTGCATCCAAGTAAACCAACCAATACTGTCTATGAAGCCTCTATGAATACCTACAACTGACAACTGATACAAGCGCCACGACAGGGCCCCGACCTAACCATAATCTCTATACATCAAAGAGAACACTAGACCTGACTCAACCCCGGATAGAAATGGAGCTTACAACCCTTTCGCTGCACTATCCAGTGAGAAAGTCTGGCAACATGTACATCTAGACCTGCAATATAGAATATAACAAATGCAGCGTCCCCGACAAAAGGGACTTCAGTACAGAAAGATTGTACCGCATACGTAAGGCAGACAAAAAAGCATGTACAAATGCAAAAACTCATACAAGAGACGAACGGAATGAAATCAACCAAATACATTAGAAAACTCTGAAACATCGTACAGGAACTCATAGTAAGTCTTATAGTATTTAAGTCATTCTAAACATTGTTCCGAGTCTTTCTGATGATATCTTTAGGTCGCTATGCGGAACGGCATTCTGGGACCGTTCACGGTAACACTCGGGATGGTCATACATTAGGTTCATTCCTTACTTAATTATAATACATACGCATGCCACATAGGGCCATCTCCGTTTGAGTATAGCTCAGCCAGTATATATATATATATATATAAATATATATAAAATCTGTAATGATATATATATATAATAATAATAACATCTTCGAGTGTAGTGGTATAGATATAATATAATAATGTCCGCAACTGAGTTCTGCTCAGTGGTATATAATAACATTCTCAACTGCAGTTACATACACTGAGATATATAATAACATCGGATAGCACTGTGGCTTTGTACTTCTTCAAGTTATGAAACATTCAGAATTATATAAGGTTGTTACCCTTTGTAAGATATTATGAATATTATTTATGCCATATACCTTCCAATGAACAATATCAACTCCAAAATAGCAACAAGAAACTACAAATATAACATTAAGTTCGACTCAATGGAGCAATATGGAATGACGAACATATGGGACTATCAAGTACTCAAGTAAAAGGCTTATGATAGATACGAAGAACCGTATAAGGCTACAATATGGATAATTTTCCAAGTAAGGAACAAATGATATAATGATAAGTTGAGTGTCGAACCCACAGAGACTTGTGTAAACTACTCACTAAATCACCAAAATTGTTATTCAATCCAGCTAAAATCAAAGTTCAATAATATGATTATATTATACTACGATTCTAAATACTAACTAAATTATCAAGTAACGAGTTGACTGTTGTGTATTCAGTAGAGACAAATATTCCAGGGTTTTGATCGATTCACCATTCGTATTGTGTTCTAATTAACTCTCCCCTACATATAATTCACTCATGGTTGCTAATTAACCGATAAATGCTCTCATAGCCTTCTCCCGAAGTACTACTCACCTATTCTCAATAGATTAACGCCTATATTCCTATGAAATCAATCTATTAAGAACGCATTAAGATTACGATATTTGATTTAGCACGGTGACTAGGTATATTCCTATCCTAACCACAAATCCGCTCCCCCTAAGGGTTAAGATCATGCTCTCTTCAATTCTTCTCTAATCTAAACACGGCTTTCCCAAGCATAGCATAGATAGTAAATAGAACCTAACTGCTGGCCAGACAATTAAGCAATTAAACACAGAATTGAAGAAACAACCATATGTTGGTGAATTATAATCAAGGTTAAGTTAATATCAAACAACAATATTCATGGCTAAATCACAACCCCAGAACAATGGGTGTTTAGCCACTCATGATGTAATCAAACAATTTCATAAGTTTTGATTAATTGAAAGTACTGGAAAAGATGAAGAATTCTGAGTGTTCTTGCTCTTCATGTTCTCGTGTGTGTTTTTGCTCCAAAGTGTGTCTCCTCTCAAAGTGGTGTTTTTAGGATGTATTTATATGACCTAGGGTTGATGAGGGGCGGAATTCTTCAATCCAACTTCGGATGGGAGAGCTGGAATCCGCGTCTGCCTTTGTGTCTAGACGCGCACTTTGATGCGGATCCGCGTTTGCCTTCGCGTCTAGATGCGGACTTTGACGCGGATCCAGCTTTTGAGATTCTTCCATTTCGTGAAGCGCTCCGTGCCTTTGCTTCGCTTCGCTGTTTTGTGCCTTAAATTTTCTCCTTTTTCGCGTCCGACTTTGTGCCACGCACGAGAATAGACGAGCTCCCACTCCTTTAATTTCTTCTTTTTGTGTCGAATTGTCATCTTTCGATCATTTATCATCCAAAATCGTTCCTACACATAAGAAACACATAATGAGTATATTTCACTTCGAAAATCACGTAATCTCCCGCGACACACACAAGAATTAATATACAAATATACTCAAAAATATACACTTTTCATCATTTATCAACACCCCACACTTAGACTCTTGCTCGTCCTCGAGCAATTGGACAATCTAATGAACCCCCAACTACGTACAAAGTTCAATCATAGAGAAACACCCTAACTTTTAACCACACACTATACCCTTGACTACAATCAATATCGGCACACAAGCATGAACACACAAAATTTCACATTCTTCCCGTTTAAGCATACCCAAGTAGAATATTTCAATTCAATAAATTCCAACAACCTATTCGTCACCGCCCAACCTCAACAATCGACTTGCAACCACTAAGCACCCTCAATTCATGCACTTACCCAACAAGAAAGTTTACAACATTACCAATCATTCATGAGATCATGTGCCCTCACCAACAAACGAAAGAATGAGTATAAATTGGTCCACACATTCAAATATACTTTTGAACATAATTTAAAGACATCACACAATTGAACAAAATTCACTCACTCTCACAAAGAATTCATATGCATCCCGTGGTCGTACCATAAGCTTGCCCGTAGTGTATATCTCTACTAATTTAAGCTAGCCAAATCTAGGATCAATTAAGACTTTAAGGTTGTAATGTAGGCTAAGGGACGGGTATGATATATTTAGAATTAGTGGCTAACCCTCCTAAGCACTTTTAATACACTACATTTACAATTCAAGCTCATATTCTTCTCAACCAAATCACTTGCCACATACAACATAGCCCTCGTTTCAATTAAGCACTTCTCTACTTTTCACTAGCACAATCATAAGAATTGGAGGTGTGTGTTTTTCTACATTATTTGAACTATCATATTTTTTTTCTCTTTTCTTGCAATTTTTCTTTTCCTTTCTCTCTTTTTTTTTTCTTCACACACTCCATACATTAAAGTTCATCGGCTAGTGACTTTTGATTTTAACATTAGTGCACCAACGAGCCCTTCCATGGTTCCACTCAAAAGCTACTCCCCAATCTCTAACCTTACTTCTTCTAGCGACTAAGTGCCTTAGGAGGTACAGGTTCAATCAATATCAAATTAAGAACAAAATGGGGGTATGGCTTGTAATGTGGGTGCCAAAAGAAAGGTATATAGGCTCAAAGGAGCTAGCAACGGAAAATTTTATTTTTATGTGACAAGCACATCCATGATCAAGAAAGAAAATGCCTACGTCATCTCCTAGATTAGCACAACTTACAATTTCGCTTCAATTAACACACGGGGCAAGTTCTAGACTACACAGGATAGCATAGAAAATCACGAATCCTTACACACACGTTGCACATGACTCAATCAAGACGGTTCTGTTCAACTCTCAAGTCAAGTAAGCACACATAATTATGAAATTTAAGAAATATTGCGCTATGCAGCCTACAAGTCAAAAAGCTGAGAAAAGGCGTCACAAAATAGGCTATTTACTTTACTTAGGCTTCACAATTCAAACCAAGTACACGGGAAAACAGAATGTATGTCATAGCCTAATGTGCCAACATCAATCATGTCAATGAGTATCTCAGAACGACTCAGTTTCTTCCTAAACTACTCCTAAAAAGAAATTAAAATGCCCGGTTCGAGCTACATCCTTAGAAAAGAACCGGTGCCTAAAGAAAAATCAAGGAATACTACCTAGCTCTAAAAAAAATAGAAAATAAAAAAATATAAAAGAAAACAAAAATCTTTTTTGTGTTTTTAAATCGGACTTTTATCCCTCAAGAAAATTGTCCAAAAGATCCATCGTCGGGAAAAGTCCGAACTTTTTCTATTTTTTTTTTAATTTTCGTTTTATTTTATTTTAAAACCTAGACTATGTCTACTACGAGTTCTAAAATAAAAACTAATTTAAAAAATAATAATTTAGTTTTATACAATTACACTTCAGAAAGTAGTTTCCCCACCCCACACTTATATTATGCATAGTCTTCGATGCATGATTACATAGAAAAGTATTAACACAAGGGTGAGAAATATTCCCTGAGACCCTCTCGGGCCTAGCTCGGACATGATCCTCAATATTAAGGGTCGGGACGACCCCACACTTAAGCTCAAACATGCTCCTCAGCTTCAACTTTGGGTACTCAGACTTCCCCTACTATGTTAGGTTGCCTCCCAACAAGCGCCTTATTTATAGTCGTGGCACGACTCTGCTACTCTGCTCAGGCTGGGCGCTTTCTCTTCTTCTTTCTCCCATAAAGTCTAGACTTTTTGCACACTCTCAGAAGGTCTCCTCTTTCATCTCTGGCTCTTTTTGCAATCGTCTTTACACACTCAGCTTGCAACACTACCTCCTCTAACTCAGTTGTCCCATCTGGATCACTACACTTCACATAAGGACTCTGCTTTATCCCCTTCGATTCTACCACAGTAATCATGCACAAGTTCTCATAATGCTTAGAGAGCTTAAGTGCCTTGTACACATTAAAAGTGACCTCCTCATCGTCAACTCTCATTTTTAACTTCCCCGCCCTCACATCAATAATTGCTCTTCCAGTAGCCAAGAATGGTCGCCCCAAAATAATGGGCACTTCCTCATCTGCCTCGTAATCAAGAACAATAAAATCAGCAGGAAGAATAAACTTTCCCACTCGAACTAA